GTGGTACAGGCTGGTCGTGCTCGGCATGGGAGTCGGCCTCGTCTACAAGCGGTTGCTCGGGAATCGCTGCATTTCGGGGGCTAGATGCAGCCTTTGGTTTAGTAGTGGGGGCCTCGTTCTGGGACTTCTTTTGCACAGAGGACGCGTACTCCTCGCGACGACGCGCCAGTTCTGAACCTGCTGTCTGAGACATGACAAGAGCACTATCCTCAGCATCTGCCTCGTCGACGAACTGTTCTTGAGGCTCTCCACTGACCTCGCGAGCAGCATGAGTGTACTGTGGGCCTGGTGATGGCTTTGCCGACGTAGTAACGCTTCCTCTATCACGGGTTTCTGGGGTACGCTTTGGGTGGGAGTGGCGAGCCACGCTCTGGTTTGCAAGTCGACGAGTGGAGCGGGGATCTACAGGAGGAATTTCGTCATCATCGTCGTCTGAATCATCATCTGAATCATCGTCTGAATCTCCATGGGCTTGAGACGACTGGAGCGCGCGTGGTGGTGACATCTTAGGTTCCGCCACGTCGTCAATGTTTTCGACGTCGTCGACAGGAACTTCCATGTCATCTTCGATCTGGGCCGAATCATTGGCAGTGGCATTGCCGAGCTGTTCAGAGTTCCCTACCCCGTTTCGTACAAAGGAGGGAACGGGGGTCCTGGAGTTGTTTCCATCGCGATGACTGTGTTTGTCTTGGTGATCGCGACGGCGGCTCGGATCGTGGGTAGAATCGCGGTCTCGGTCACCGTTTCCATCCTCACGATCCCTCGAAGGCCCTCCAAAGTCGTGCCTGTAATTAGGCGTGACGCGATCGACGCGTTGGCCAAAAGTTTCGTCGAAATCTTGAAGGACACTCTTCAGATCGACAATGGCTGTATGTAATTCCGGAAAGTCACTACCACAAGAAGAGTAGATCGTGACCACGTTCCAAGACGCAATCATGAGGTTGTTGAAGTTGGGGAACGCGGTCTTGACGACAGAATTGAAGAGATCGACTTTGATGTTGCTTGGGATGGTGTTGAAGATGTTACTTTTCACATCCTCCGGAATTATGTCGAGACCAGCGCGCTTGCGCTTGTTGGAGATGTGGGGAATAACCTCGTCGTTGGGACGCCGCTTTCGTGACTTCCTCGCTGTTCAATTGTCAGCGCTGGAAGTTCATTATATCTTTTACACTTACTGTGAGTAGGAGTGCGATCGTTCTCCTTCATCGGATTGAGCCTAATGAGACTCTATATGATGTTAGTGGACAGTACTCAAATGCTTCGGCCCATGTGAAAGCAGTGTCTTGCAATGACTTTCGTAAAGCCAAAGATGGATGAGCAGACATACCTCTCCGTCATCGAACAGCACCGGTGCCTGGTACGGCATATTGTAAGCAGCCCGCCTCGCCTGGTTGATCTTGTTCACCCTCATGTAGAGAATCTGATACTTCTCTTTGAACAGAGGTAGCATACCGCGAGCAATGAAACCATGAATGGGATGAGAATCGAGTTCATCCTCCTCCAGAGGCAGTGGATCTTCAACGTGCATCTGGACTTGGTTATCCTCTACCACCAGGTAGATACGGTGTATGGCGTTCTTTTCTTCCGGTAGTATGACATTTCCGAGATCGAAACGAGTGGCCTCTTCTTTGAGGGTAACAAAGACCAGATCAGGCTTGACCACGCCATTTATCCTGGTGTATGTGGGTGGCTCGTCGTTGCTGAGGCCCTCGATGAATGTGTTCAGATGCGTCGGGTCGACATAGCGAAGTTGATCGCGGAGAATGAGCGCGCGTTTCTGGGGCTTATTTAGCGCGCTGAAGGTGGGCGCCGCCGTTGCAACAGCAAGTGACATTTCGAGTTGGTGTCCAAGTCGGAAGCAGTGGTAGTCTTCTGTGAATACTGAGCGTAGTTGCCCCAAAGGCGCAGTCGATATGAGATGGCTATACTGCAGTGCAACTCAAGCTGGGTAGAGCGTAGTGGGAGGGATGAGATATCAGATTCGAGTCGTGAATTGCTGTATATATACTCCAACGGGGGCGAGCTAGTGCACGTCTTTTACCCTCGTGGACTGCATTGCGGAGTCTTCTACCTGGGTAAAGGCGGGGCCCCTACGAATAGTTGAGGTAATAGCGCATATTCCCCGGCTAGATTTGGCCCATGTGTTGTGTTCTTGCTGTCGTGGTGCTCTTGCTCAACCTGGCAAGCCCCGAGCTCGACTGGAACTGTGCAACGGAGGATGAAGACAGACTGGCAGGATCGATTGGCATTTCTTGCGATTTCATGCCCACAGAGCAATTCTTAGGGGTTGGAGAGAAGAAAGCAATTGTATAGGAGACGATAAGATGGGTGGTGGTTTCCTCTTGACTTTGATCGGATGGCACGAGCTGCGCACGGTCTCTTGCAGACTCTCAAGGCAGTCACGACCCGGACAGAACTTCTGGTTGGGAATCGCTACTCAGTGAGTGGTCCCAACAGTTCCGATGATGAATGAGACGGCGACTCCCCCTCCCTTGTGGGAAGCAGCCCTCTTTCATGCTTCGCTGCTATTGTCAGCCAGCGACATCTCAACCAAGAAAACCCACTGTAGATACGCGCACATGTACATCACGAAAAAAAACTAAAAGGGTGTGCATGTTGTATGGTTTCAAGCCGTGACGAGATGCTTCCTATGTGCAACTTGTACTAATACACTTGCACATTGCTCTTGAGTGTTGAAGATAATGTCCCTCGCCCAATATCTCTTACGCTTACAAGTACAAGCCCTCTGGCTCACCCTCTGTCTTCGTCTTAAGAACACGTTCCCTCGCGGTACGGAAGTCCTCCATGTTGACCCGCATACGACGCTCACGAAGCGCCATGAGACCAGCTTCGGAGCAGATGGCCTTGATGTCGGCACCAGAAAGGTCGTCCTTCTGGTTGATGAACTCGTCGAGATCAACATCCTCGTTGAGCGACATCTTGGAGGTGTGGAGAGTGAAGATCTTCTTCTTGGTGGTTTCTGCATGATGGTTAGCAAGTGTATCGCGGACAATGGGGAACAAACTCACGATCAGGGTTCTCGAAGAGAATCTTTCGGTCAATGCGACCAGGACGGATAAGGGCAGGGTCGAGCGTTTCGATCTTGTTGGTGGCCATGATGACCTTGACATCTCCACGGTCGTCGAATCCGTCCAGCTGGTTGAGCAACTCCAACATGGTTCGCTGAATCTCACGCTCACCGCCGGATGTGGATTCGTAACGCTTGGTACCGATAGCATCGATTTCGTCAATGAAGACGATGGAAGGCGCGTTCTCGGCGGCAGTCTGGAAGAGCTGTCGGACGAGTCTGGGACCGTCTCCGAGGTACTTCTGGATCAGCTCACTACCCACGATACGCAGGAACGTTGCGCTGGTCTGGTTGGCCACGGCCTTGGCCAGAAGCGTCTTTCCAGTACCTGGTGCACCGTAGAGAATGACACCTTTCGGGGGCTTGATACCCATCTCCTCGTACAGTTCCGGATGTAACAGGGGCAGCTCGACCGCCTCCCGCACTTCCTGGATCTGTTGCTCTAGACCACCAATATCTGCATACGACTCTGTCGGCGCCTTGTCTAGCTTCATGACCGACACTAGTGGATCGGCATCGTCTGTGAGCACACCGACTACAGAAACCGACTTGTGATGCAGCAGGATGCTCGCGCCGGGCTCTAGCAGATCCTTGTCGACGAAAGACATGATTGAGACGTAGTACTCGGGCCCGGTGGCGCTGGAAACAATGGCGTGGTCGTCATCAATAAGCTCTTCGAGGTTGCCGACGCCCATGGGACTGCCGCGCATGTCGTCGACGCGTGAGCGCTCATCGGCGTTCCGGTCTTCGGCATCCCCTGCATTGGCTGCGGGCGCGTTTCCTTCCTTCACCGCCTTGGCCTTGCGCAGACGCTCCTGGTTCTCGACGTACTCCTCCTCGAGCAGGAGATGGTCGTGGATGCGCTGCATTCGGAGGTAGCGTAGCTTGCATCGTGCGGTCGGGTAGACGGTCGGGAGCTTGGCGGCGGCGCTGGGCCCGGCGGCCTTCTTCTTCTTCCTACCGATGCGGGTTGTGGGTTGTGGCGGCGGCTCGTACTTTGGCTTCTCCTTCTGCAGAGGGCGTGGTTAGTGCGTGCCAGGTGCGGTGAGGCAACAGATAGCGGACTCCCGAGAGCCATCACCACGTGTCGGGGGGCAGCACATACCTTGTCCTTCTTGTTCTTGTCATCTCCTGGAGGCCCGCCGCCTCCAGCACTCGATTGCTGGTTACCCTGCACGGCGTTAGCATGTGGCCATGGTGGTTTCCGAGGGAGGCGATCTTACCATGACACGCGATCAGGTGATGAAAGGCGAATCAAGCGCTCGAAAGTATGCAGCGACTAGAAGAGGAAGAACCACAGCGAGGGTGGTGGTAACGGGCGATGGCGGTGGTGAGGCGGTGGTTGTTTGCAAGAGGTGTTGATGCGCTGATTCCGAAGCTCGTGGATGTCGGAGGATCGGGGTTAGCGCCTCGTGGCGTCACTGCCTCGAGCCGCTGGAAGCCTCACCATTCCACCTCCATAGAGCAACAGACACGTCAGGCCCTGTCCGATAGCTGTGCATTTCTCGCTGTGCGCTCTATTTCACTAACACTTCTTCTTCACCCACCAGATTCCCGAACCCCCCGTTGTAGTATTCCCTCTGAGCTGCGACCCCGCCGGCGAGCCAGCTCAAAGCTCCCCACGCGGGTCAAGAGGTACTCCCCATCGCTACCAGACAAGGTCTTGGAGTAGCTCCAGTACGTTCGCATCGTTTCTGAGGTGAATCACCACGCCACAGCCCCCTCTCAGACACCCCAAGACCTGTATGACACACTCCCCGCACTGCAACTTGGTGGAGCCGGGACCACTTCGCGAGCCTGAGGCTGACTTCTCTACCTAGAAATACCTTGGTCGCGCCTGCCTGCTGCCTACTCGTAACACTTCCTCTTCATCGCCCTTTTCACCCCAAACCTTCCACCATACCCCACCACCATGACTTCCAACCGCAACCGGCGCATTGCCAAGGAGATTGCCGACATCCACAACGATCAGCACTCCAAGATCGTCGTCGAACCCGCAGGCAATGGCGAAGACTTGACACATCTACGGGGGCAGTTCTTCGGTCCTCCTGACACACCATATGAGGGAGCTACCTACAAGGTCGACATCCGGATCCCGAGCGAGTACCCCTTCCGCCCACCGCTCATGAAGTTCGAGACCAAGATCTGGCACCCCAATGTCAGCTCACAGACGGTAAGAACAAACGAGGCTTCGGAAAGTGCTTCAGAAAGCTAACAGTAGTAGGGCGCTATCTGCCTCGACACCCTCTCCTCGCAATGGTCGCCAGTTCTGACCATTAAGTCCGCTCTGATCTCGCTACAATCGCTCCTCAGCACACCCGAGCCCAAAGACCCACAAGACGCAGAAGTCGCCGGCATGCTACTTAGGAACCCCGCCGAATTCGAACACAAGGCTCGCGAGTGGGCAGTCACATTCGCTGGTGCGCCGCGGAAGGAGATTGCTGAAGGAAGCGGGGGAGCCACAGCGGCGTCCATCAAGAAGAAGGCGCAGCAGGCGAAACAGAACGAAGAGCAGTCTAAACTAGCTGCGTACAAGGGCTACAACAAGGACTTGGTAGATCGCTTTGTCGCTATGGGCTTCGACGTCGACGCCGTGGTCGCCTCGTTTGAGTATGTTGGTATCGATCGCATGGGCGGCGAAGACTACGAGCTGGAAGAAGCCTACATGGGGGACATCACTGCTCGGCTCTTCGGCGAAGCATAGTAGCCTCCCCATATCTTGTTTCGATTCAGCATCTCTTGTTCGACCTTCAGGGCGCAAAGGCGTTTTTTATTCCTCAGACCATCACATCCATTACATTCTTCATGGGAGGCAACGTAAGGCGATGGGTTATTAGGAGTATTGGGTGTACATGATCACGGGAATAGCGTAGGCGCGCTCTTAGTGAGTAGCAATGTAGTGTCAATCAATGTTTGTTACATTATGCTTTTGTTTCGTTATTCGTATGTACAGGCGTTTCCTCCTCTTCTTATCTAGTGTTTATACCGGATATCGTTAATCGAGATTCTTACGCGATGGCACGGTCAGCGTCGATGAAGACGCCATTCGAGGAGACACCCTCAACGCTTTCATCCTTCTTAAGAGTAAGAGGAGCATCACCAAAGACAGTCATCTTATTCGGCTTCTCAATATTCTGCTGGACCTTGACAGCTATTCCACACGTCAGCATTTCGCTCTACAAACACAACACCCTGAGATCAAGATTTCACAACCAGAGGGATAAACTTACTCTCACCATCATACTCGTAGTCAAAAGTAGGAGGGTTGCAGGTCTTGCTCTCCTTGGGGTTCCTGCTCGGGTCGTACTCGTAGTCGCAGATGGTGTGAATGACGTTCTTGCCAGAGTACTCGTCAGACACAAAGTCCGCGAGCAGCCTCTGCGACTTGAAGCCGGAGTCGAGTGCGTATTGCGTGATGGTGACGTTCCATTTGCCGTAGACTTTGGCGTTTGCGGCGGTGGCGGCGGTGGCCAGGGCGAAGAGGGCGGTGCTGAAGTGCATTGTTGTGGTTGGTTGGTTGGTTGGTTGGTTGGTTGGTTGGTTGGGTATGGGAGTTACTGTGTTGTGTTAGGAGCGACGGTGATGATGATGGTAAAGCCCAGAAAGCGATGACAAGACCGTCTTATATGCCCATCTCCCTCCGTAAGACGACGTCAAGAGCGGTCTGTTGGTCGGCGCATTTACCCACCGCCTCGTCCTCGTGCGCCTAGCATGGTCCTAGCATCTGGATAACTCCAGGGCTGCGCTCATACAAATACCGCTACTGCTGACGCCGGGTGAGCACTTTAAAGTTCCTAGGTGTCAGTGCTCAGATGCAACGGTCGTAATTCTTTCGGTAACGGCGATAAAGGCCGAGCCTTCGGCGCGTGTCTAGGTCGCGACATGGAGAAGGGGAGACGGTGTGGAGTCCTGGGCTAGGACTTGTAGTTGTGAACTTTGTGTAGGCGGTCAGATTGTAGAGATGGGCTACTGGGCTTCTAGCTTGCGTGTCTTCTGTCTGCTTCCTTTCTCTTGAGAATCAGATGCTGGGTTTCCATCTTTGTGAATGCGACGATCGATTAGAGACTTTCATTAATACTGCCTCGGTGAGGTAAGTGGAGCTGTAAATCTCCGAGCTAGCCTATGCGGAAGTGGCGCCGTGCTAAATGGGGACACGCCGGATCCTGGACATGGGGTTTCTCGAATGCAGGAACACCAGCATCGGCTTAGGTATATGCGCGAAACTTCGGTATAACCCCACAAGTGCTTATGTGCAAAAGGTTAGTCGCAAATACTCACACGGTTGCAATGCGGTGTAACGGTTTTTCAATGCTGATTGATCTCTGTCTATTTCCTGGTATTCCACTACCTTCCCACGAGTACTCGCTCACTCTTCCTTGTCTCGGTGGCGTAGTTGCGCTTCTCTCCAGTGACATGTAGCTGAATATGACCCTTTGCTGTTGGCGCATACTTCACGCTCGCGCCTTGTTCTACACTAAAAGCTTCGCATGCAGGCTTGCTGTTCAAGATCCACTGTGCGGTAAGCTTAACACCCGGGTCCCAGCGTCCAACACTCGCAGTAACCTCCTGGCCCACCTTGGCCTTCTTGTCTTCGATCTTGGGGTCGGCTTGACGCTTGATGGCTGCTTTGCGACCACCGTATTTAATGACATCCTCCCATACATTTCCACGGGTAAAGGGTGCGGTGGCCGAAGGGGAAAGTGGAGTAGGGCCATCGGGGGCGTGATCTTGAACCCAGCGCTCGACCAACTCGAGGTAGTCCCAGATCTCGCGTACTTGGTAGTTGCCACCATGGGGCTTCTCGGGTAGGATTGTGACATTGGCCCATCCGGCTCCACCGACGGCATCGGTGCGCTTCTGGAACTCCATGACACCTTCGTTGAGGAAGTAGTTGTCCCAGGTGCCTACGTAGACGAAGATACGTCCAGCGAGGGCAGCACCGAGGTTGCGGGAAGAGTTGAAGTTGGTGACGACGTAGTCGCTGAGGTCGAACGGCTTCCAGTATTCGACTGCGTCGGGGTAGATCTCACCAGTGACTTTGTCCCAGGGCTCAAGAGGGTAGTTGTTGTAACCCTGGACACCGAAGACGGCGTTCCAGACATCCCACTGGTTGAATGAGCGCGATGATGTGCCAAATGTCAATTCCCAATGGTTTTCTTGCGCCGCGGTAGCGAGGATCACCTCCGTGCCGTTAGTATGGGTGCGGATACTGGGGACGGAGCTACCATCTGCACGTTGGTATGCATTAGCAGCGCTGTACAGTTCGATATCTTGGTGGCGGTGGAAGTCCAGAGAGTCGGGGTATGAAGAGAAGCACACGCCGAAGAGGTCTGGGCGGTAGATGACGTTGGCGATCGACTCCCAACCACCAGTCGAGCCTCCGTCCTGGACACGAGCATACGGTGCGCGGATGGTGTTGAAAGTGTCTTCGATATGAGGGATCAGCTCTTCGTTGATGGCATCACCGTAAGGACCAAGGTTGGCAGTGTTGACGGCATACGAGTCATCGTAGTATGGAGCTTCATGGCGGAAAGTCACCATGATGAACTTGGGTGCCGGTCGCGCTGCGGTTGTGTTGGTTCCGGGTATGACACCCGCATCCCAAGCTGCTGTGAACTTCTTGTCGGTGCCATAGTTGTAAGCGCCTTCGCCGGCCGGCCAGTGACCTTGGTTGTAGATGACAGGGTATTGTGTTTTCTTGTCGGCTGCATCGTAGCCAGAAGGCAGTACGACATTGGCACCAACATACATGTCGCGGCCCCAGAACTTGCTCAACTTCTTACTGCGAATCTTGATGTGTTTGAGCGTATCTGTGTCTTCGTAGTTGCCCTGGTTGCATCCGCCGATTTCCTTGCCGGCGAAGTTCTCGACAGCGGTAATGTTGTTGAAAGTCAATTCGATGGTCTGGCCGCCTTCAGAGATCTCAACGTCTTGAAGCGGTGTTTTCAAGCTACCATAGCCGTTGACATTTGGCGCGCCATCACCACATGGGAATCTGACGCTGACCTTCGAGCCATCGCTTCTCGTGACGGTCTCGTAGCGGGTGAGGAAGGCCTGTACACTGTAGGTGCCTGGATCGATGTCGCTCAGACTAACGTTTGGCCAGCCATAAACACCGGTAGCGGTACTGTCGTTGCTTCCGCCAGAGAAGAATACCGCTTGCTTTGAACCGAAGTTGTATACATTCTTTCCAAAAATCTTGTTGGGGGAAGAAGTGACGTCTGTATCGTCGAGGGGATCTTCGCCTTCGGGAGCAAACATCAACACAATGCGGCCATCGGTGGGTACATCCAGAAGACCATTCTCGATAGAGAGCTTGACGTTGAGATTGGTATTGTAGTCGCGTTCGACATAATGCCTAGTCGTAGGAACAGCCGATACGCCCAACGCGAGTATGGCGAGAAAGATGTTCTTCAGCATCTTGCTTTTGTGAACTGTTATCCAGTCCAGTCAAATGCAGAGCATCCGTCGATTGTGCTTGACCAAGCTGTCGGTGGGACGACAAGCTTTTTGATATGCGCTCAAGCTTTGACTTGGTGAAAGCAGAAGCGAGCGGCACCACTAACCGGAAGAAGAAGGCGCGAAAGATAGTACAGCCTCATACGGCATGAAAGATAAGAACCTGCAGTTAAGGCAGTCTTCAAGTCATGAAAAGAGGGTCGTGATTAAATATTCTTCATGTTCGCGGACCGGGCAGTCGAAGAGGAACCATGGGAGCGGTAGCGTGGTCCCGCCATACTGGTTTCTGGTATCGCTTGCGCAGGAACAATAATTTGCTACATGCTCAAGCTATTCGCTTCAGCTCCATTGAGGTTCTGCAGAATTCGTGGATTGTCCATATCCGGTTGGTGTCGTGTGGGTATAGGATGGCTGCCGTGCACGTATCTTTGAACTCCGGCATCGAGGCCGAGTCGCTAACCGCTTTGAGTGAGCAGCGAACAGGTTAGGTGAAATGTCTATCTCCGCATCAAGCCACTTTCACGTCGAGTATGACATGTGACCTTCTTGAGATGTTGATGTGTCTTGCAGAAGAAGGGCTCACTACGTCGCACTTGCGCGGTAGGCCTAGTGAAACCATTTCCTGACGTCATCACTCTTGCATGCCATGTACGTATCGTACTCTGGAGGTATCTCCTCTACGGGACGCCCACAACAGCACGAACACGATGAATAACGTCGTCCTCAACCATGCGAAGCTCGGTGCAATAAGATGTCTCCAGGAGCCAAGCGGCTTGATCGTAAAGATATTAGGTCTGCCGTACGGAAAGGTTGCTGAAAGATTTGCGCGCGCAGAGCTCACGCACAAGCTTTCTGATGGAGAGAGCAAAAGGTTCCACGATGGAGTTTTCGATGCGACAAGGCCAGGAGCATCCAGTATCCAGCCGTGGGGAAGCGTCAAGTCTGATGCAGCCAACATCCCACTGCCAACCGATAATCTGCCGGATGACGAAGAACAGTCGGAAGATTGCTTGAACCTGTCCATACATCTGCCGGAGGTATGCATCGAAAAAGGCGGAAAGATGCGTTCGGGTATGAAGTTGCCGGTCCTTGTCTTCATCCATGGTGGAGCGTACTTCCTTGGTTCGGCGAATCGACCATACTACAACCCCGAAAATCTTGTGCGCCATGCTATTCAGCGTGAATCTCCCATTGTCTTCGTAGGGATCAACTACCGGCTCGGTGCGCTAGGCTTCTGGCATTCGGATCGTGCTGGAGACATGGTACCGGAGAACAATGGTCTCTACGACCAAAACACGGCGTTCGAATGGCTGCGCGAGAATATTGAGGGTTTTGGCGGCGACGTGGACAATGTAACAGTCATCGGACAAAGCGCAGGTAGCGAGAGTATCTCGGTGCAGACGATGCGTAAACCGTTGTTCAAGCGCGCGATCATGTTGTCGGGAACGCCAGTTACCATGCCTGCAATGACCCACGACGAGCATCACGATAACTTCTCCAAGCATGCTGAGAAGTTGGGAATTCGTACAAGAGAAGGCGATGGCAGCGAGAGGGACACCGAAGCAATAGCCAGAGACGTAATAGGTGTTGACGCGTCGAAGATTCGAGACCTAGCCTGGGTTGGTTTGCCATGCACGAACAGCGAGTTCTTTCCCTTTGAGCGACCGACCATGGATTTGGCTAGAAAGGGTAAAGTCGCTCCTCCTGATTGGAAAGACTGGGCGAGGCCTGTCGAAGCTCAAATCGTTGGCTCCACCACCTATGACGGCGGCATTTCCTACAATATGATGAGGAATGATGACAGTCGCAAGAACCATGCTCAAGCCTTCGAGCAGATTGCCAAAGATGTTCTGTCTCCCGAACAAGGTGCCGAATTGCTGAAGACATACGGTATCGAGGGAGGTCTTGATGATGCGGACGCACTCCAACGTATCTGCCTTTTTGAGAGCGACATAGGGTTCTTTGCGGCCGCGTTGAGCATTGCGGAAGGTGATCTGGTCAAAGAAACCTATTTCCAAGTCTTCGATCTTCCGAACCCTTTCCCAGGACCAATTCAGGAGCAAGGTGCTTTCGCTACGCATACTTTCGACATTGCGACGCTGCTTGGCGGCGTGCATGAAGATCGTTTGCCCTCGCATTATGGACCTGTGGTTGCCAGATGGCGCGATACCATTCTCGACTTCGTGACCAGGGGGACGCCCCCTTGTGCAGAGTTTGTTGGTGTTGGTGGAGGGAGGAGAGGATTGATGGTGGATGAGAGAGGCGTACGCGAGGTCGGCAGTGAGGCGTGGTTGGAGAATGACGAGGGGAGAAGGCGGAGATTGTTCGATTTGGCTCGGCAGATTGATGCTGATACCGGACTGGACGTTCTTTGGGTCGACGTTTGTAGGCGCTTCTTGATGCGCGGGAAGTAAACGGACGGGACTATGACGCTGCATCTGTGGCAGCGTCACTTCATCCCGGAGTGTCGAACGTGTATTTTGTCGCCTATCAAGGTGAATTAGCATAATGGAGAAGTTGGGTTTGGTTGCAGGAACATACCTGAAAACCTTCCCACCTATCCCAGACGCGGGGTGCTAGCACCCTTTGTCCTGCACTTCGACAGTGGTATGATTGGCCTTCGTCCAGCCACAGTCTCACTGCCAGTGCTCGGGATAGGCGGTGCTGGTGCCTCGTACTCATCGTCTGTCTCGCCTTCAGCGTCCTGGTCAGTGATGTTACCATCACTGACGTCCTCGGATGCCTCTATGTCCAGACCCCAACCACCCAACTCAGCGAGTTCATCTTCCAGCGCCGGATCAAGCTGGGGGCTGGATACCTCAGGCGCCTGATCTGGTGATGATGAGACTCGCGGCGAGGACTTGTAGTCTTCTGCGCCGTAGATGCTGTCGTCATCTGAGTTTTCTTGGTGGTCGCTGGGGGCCCTTGAGCTATGCTCGGACGGCGGAGACGGGGTCCACTGTGTGGCCGGGAAGGTGTCGGAAGTGGTGGGGGAGGGAGGGACCGAGAGGAAGAAGGAGAGAGAGGGGGTGGGAGAAGAAGGGGAGGATGGGGAAGATGAGGAGGGGGGTGATTTGGGACTGTTGATTGAGGCGCGAAGGGCGTCCATCTCCCTCGCACCTTTGTCGACCTGGTCTTCCAGCGCCGCAATGCGGGCTTCGTGCTGGTGGGCTATGTCGAGAGCCTCTCCCAGCTGGCTCTCACGCACCGCCATGCGCCTCTCGAGCATCTTGACTTCGTCGCGTACAGCCTTGCTCACGAGATCCCGGATCTCGGTCTTGCTCATGCTGATTTCTGGTGCTATGTCATGTCAGATCATTCACTCAAAGACAAATGAGTGATGAGACTTACCTGGGCTTGACTTGGAGGTCATGCCGTATGCTGCCGCTATGAAGCCAACAAGCATAACGAGCATGACTGAGCCCATATCGAGGGCGAAGTTGAGGAAGCCGTTCGGCTCGTAGTGCGTTTGAGGGAGATATCCTTCCATCTTGGTAGTGGTGGGAGCGGGTTTGTTTGTAGGTGTGGTGGGTTTCTGGGTATGTAGCTGTTTTGGATAGTAAAGAAGCTGTTGGAGAAGAGGAAAAGGATTTGTGCGAAGAGATTTTGAGTTGTTGACGTTGCCTAGGTGAAGGGCAAACGGACGAGTCTTGGCAGTAGAAACGGTCTTCACCTCGACAACAATACCTACTCACCCCGCCTATACCCAGCTTAAATAGCTTCTAGTACTACTCACTGCTATTTTTGCCCCAAAGACTGTCGCTATTGTCTTCAATTGTCTCACTATCGAACATGAACAAAATAAGACACTCGAAGAGCCGCCTCGAGGTGACCACCGCGCATTTTGGCAATACAAGGTGTCTCATTATAGAACAAAGAATAGACTGTTTAAGAGCTGATCTGGATAAGGAGAAAGCCATTCCTCTGATACGGCGTGCTTAAAAGCAGGATAGGTGATGATGTGAGACGAAACCTTGGAAAGCATTTTGGAGTCCGGCAACACACTGAACGTTCGCATAACGCGATTGAACCAGAATAATGCGCTAGATTTTGTGGTCACTAAGCTTGATGTATCGATGCAACTTGATGTGAGTAGATTTGGAAAGATCGATGTTAGAAACTGAGGTTGTTCGGCTGACGCCGGGGACATCGTACGCGTCACGCTAGCATGACTCGTATTACCGAGACGCGTCGCGATGACGTGAACGTCCGCCAGAAATTCCTCAGAGCTGCCCACCTAGTGTGCGACAGATACACCTTCCCATCCTCTGCTGCGAAAACATATCGAGAGCGCATTCGAAGTTGCAACCGCTACAGATCCGTACGGAACGCCGCTATCAACTTCTTGAAGGAGCAGCTGCGCAGCACAACAGAGACTGCTGGCCTTGAGATGCTTTGTATAAGCACGCGGATGCGCGGGTTTGTGGTCACTTTGGTGTAGGATGACTCGGAAATTGTGCGCTCTTTTTTGGGGATGCAGCAGCTCGAGCATTGATCAGGAGGAGGAACAGCACGTAATCTACGGGCGACACTTGACAGCGACGGAGAGTAGGTCTTTCTGTGTACTACAAGTGAACCTACTCATAGAGACTTCGATGCATATGCGTACTCTTTTGGCGTTATGACCTGCAGGTTTATCGACCCGCAAACGTTCGGTACACTACCTGGGTACCAGGGAAGTTACGACCCTTGATCTACCATGACATCCTTCCGGATGTTCGAAACGCAGACGAACCAACTAAAGCCCTGTCTTGGAACTCCAGGACTTTCGAGCATCCTACACGGGTGTTGAGTTTGTCGAAGAACTTGTCCATACTTATTCCAGAGAGGTGCCTTCCAAAGTCCGGGCTGAAGGGTTGTTTGCTCGAAGCGGTTGATCGGCGCTAAGATGAACAGTGACCGCCGAAATACGCAACCGAGACATGAACTTACAAGCTGCCTCTCGCCATACGATGTCTGATTACATCTCCGCTTTCGTTACCCCGCACTCTATGAGCATGCGGTATCCATGGATCAGTTCCTCGACGCGTCCGGACTAGCGTGGTCGACTTCACCGTGAAACATTATCACCGTATCCTCTCGCCCTCGTCACCTTCACTACTCTTTGACTCTGACCATCATCAGCTCTTCAAGATCTACTTCAATCGGCGTGAGCTTCTTCGACATGCCTGTTTCGTTGAAGATGCTAGAGAAGGGGGTCGAACACCCTGATCGCATCGAGGGATGGCTTGACGAGTTGAACATTAAGGGCGCCGAGATCGATGAGAGCGAATGCGCGACTGATACCGAAGAAGAGGCAGATTATGGGCCAACTACGCCACCTCGACGATTGGACCACCACTCTGTATCGCAAGACGAGATATCGCAAGACGAGATATCGCCAACCGACACGTCCTTCTCCGGGCAGAGCATCTTCGACAAACCACTCCGCAAGAATCTGTTCGGCGGCCCAACGCCAAATTTCGAGATACGAGACGATGAATCCGATACGACCAGTATCGATAGCCGTGACTGGGCACCATCACATGGCAAAGAACGCACACTGGAGCGGCTTGTACCTCCTGCCTTTGCTCTCCGACCTAGCAAGCCATCAGCCAGGCCAAACCCCCGTGAAGCAGCCTCACAAACGGATACAGACGATCTCACAGCAGTACCTCATCTTGACCCTCAACACACTCTTCCTCCACACGATCCGAACGAGCCGCGACCAGTCTGGATAACCTCTTGCCTGCAATGCACACTCGCCGGCCTCCCCTGCTCACGAACCTACCCCTCATGCTCACGTTGTAAGCGACACAACCGTGCTGAAGAATGCCTCCTCCAGCGTCGACGCTTCACATCCGAAGTTATGGATTCCTCGTTCTTGGGCAGGAGCACAGCGCCTACTCTGCTCAAAGTAAAAGGCGACGATGAAGGCATCTGGAAGCGCAAGGTCGAGCTGGCGGAGACGTTATGCGAAGAATGGGTTGCTGATCAGGACAAGAGGAATTGGGTGTTGCCGGATGTTGGTAGTGCGAGAGGGGGGTGGGGTAAACGCAGGGGGAGGGGTGGGAAGGAGAAGGTGGGACATCCGGGAGAGGGGATTGGACGGTTGGCTTTTCGGGAGTTGTTTGTTGATGTGGATAGCTGATGAGGCTCTGGAGTATCTGGCATGATCGCTGCGGTGTTCTTTTCAGCGATGTCTATTCGGCTTTTTTGACAAGCCGGGTCATTGATCTGGGAATCCTCTAGCGCTGATGCGAGGGTATCAGTCGATTTGGTAGCGAGTATTTGGGCGCTACTCTGAGTACGGCACGAGCTCTATGTTAAGCAACCCGAGTAAGAAACACGATGAGCTTGCACGAGCTTCGAGAAGCCGTATAGCGGTACGGCTTTACGCAGAGTTTAGCAGTCGCAAGATCAGATAGTTATCGACACAAACCAGAACTCGTGTTCTGGCTCTAGCCTCACATTTGAGTGAGTCCGCTACAGATACGATTGTTCGCGCAACGCCACCAAGTCCAATCTAAAGCTTCGCTCCACCTTTACCCTGCCCCAGCAACTCCTCCACCGCAATCTCACTCGTCATAAGAATACACGTATCCCTCAAACTCGGCACACGATGCCTGTGATTAACCTCCTGGTAATCCTCGCTCGCCAACATATCCCTAAAATGCAAGATACTGGGATAATGCGCCAGCGCAATCTCATCCCAGTCATCGTTCCCACCGCCCACCTCGCCATTTGTACCCACGCTGCTGTCGGATGCCTTGGTGATTGCCGAGCCATTAACGTGTGTTGCATTCCCCACGATCTTTGCGTTCCCGCCGTGCTTAGAGCCGATTGATTTGGCGAATGCGGCACCGTATTTCAGGTATTCTTCTTTCATCCCTGGGTTGAAGGCGAGGAGGTTGAACATGGATACTGCGCCCTTCCCTTCTTTAGCACCGCTGTTGACGAAAGTCTGGATCCATTTATTCAGCTCATCGCTAAGTTCGAGGCTCTGGCTCGATTCAGTGGTTTTGTTGCTCTTCTGCTCTTGGACTTTGGGTACGAAGCTAGGGTCTGGATGCAGTAGCTTCTGGTTCTTCGATGCAAAGTCCTGGATCAGGCGGGAGGGGACTCCGGCTGTTACGCTCCAGTGGTGTTGGACTAGTTTCGAGAGCGAGGATGGGAGCGCGTCGGTGCTGGGCAGGATGAGGAGAAGATCCCAGTGGATGTTTCGGGCGAGGAGGTGTTCGGTTGAGAGCTTTGATGGGAGGATTATCCAGCGGATTACGCGTGAGATTACGAGTGGTGAGACGTTGGCGGACTTTAAGGTGGATAGGAAGGTTAAGATGGGGTTGGGTGTGGTGCTGTGGAGGGCGACAAGATGGAGCGTGCAGAGCGGCATCTTGGACGCGGAATTGGCAAGATCAGATGTTTACCTGTTTCGCGAATATGATGCTCAGACGGCGGACAAGGAGTAGTATAGATGTTCGTAGTGTTAGGTGGATGACGTAAGTTGACTCTACTTTACCGAGGCTCAATTGTGAGGAGCTGTGGTATGAGCTCCTCGGAGCTGCATCCATTAACAGAGCTCACGCCCTGTCGTGCACTGCTGGTATGTCTGCACCATTTCATCGAACATAAAGCTCCGAGTGCTTGTTGCGGATAAGCTCTACTCCGGAGTAGGGGAAGGTGCACCACTGCGGGGCGTCTCACCAGACATGTAGATCAAGACCACAGGACTATCCATGTCCACCGTCGCAATCATTATGATTAGGAAGCATGAAAGAGGGTGTGTAATGTTGCAAATGCAGTGAGATGCGCAGACTCATAGAAATTACCTAGGTAGGTAAGCGATGTAGCCTGCCTTGTGGTCACCGATTGGACGTTCGCGCTACCGGTACATATCTGTGACGTACGTTCCTGCTAGTCGTGACCAGGTGGAGCTGTAGGCAAACACGATTTCAAAGCGACAGCAGCCTGGCAACTTCTGCGTATATCTGCATCGGCACCGACTGTGTTCTTGTCTTCTACAAATCTCCTCTCAACACAATCTCATCGAAACTCTAATCATGCCGAAGCTCTTCATGTAGGTTCAGATGCATACTCCTACCGATCGATGAAACACGGGCGACATGCAATTGCATCTGATTCTAGATATGTGAGTGCTAACTAGATTCAGCACCGGCGCCACTGGCTACATCGGAGGCGATGCCCTCTACGCAGTTGCAAACACCTATCCGGATCTAGAGATCACCGCACTTGTTCGAAACAGCGACAAGGGAGCTAAGGTCGCAGTGCAGTACCCAAAGACCCGTCTTGTGTACGGCACCCTTGATGACACCGAGCTACTCACTACAGAAGCGTCCAATGCAGACATCGTCCTCCATTGCGCCGACTGCGACCACGTGGCTTCCGCCAATGCTTTGGTTACTGGGCTCACACGCAGCGGAAAGAAGACCTATCTCATCCATACCTCTGGAACTGGTGTCTTGTCTTTCGAGGACTTTGAGACCAACACCTATGGTATGAGGCGAGAGAAGGTCTATGACGACTGGGACAACATCGGTGAGGTCACTTCACTGCCTGATTCAGCGCTCCATCGAAATGTCGACAAGATCATCCTTGGATCGAACGATGTTTCAGCAGGCAACATCCAGTCTGCCATTGTCTGTCCACCTTGTATCTACGGACCTGGACGTGGCCCCGATAACCAAAAGAGTGTGCAGGTGTATGACATGAGCAAGGCCGCACTGAAGCGCATGAAGGGTTTCGTCGTTGGTGACGGCAAGAACATGTGGACTCAAGTTCATGTTCAAGATCTCAGCGAGGTGTTCCTAGCCCTTGTGACAGCCGCTCTGTCGCCTGATGGTGGCAAAGCGACTTGGAACAAGGAAGGATACTATTTCGCGGAGAGCGGAGAGTTCTGCTGGGGTGACATCGGCAGCAAGATCTCGGAGATCGCGTTCAAGAACAAGCTCATCAACCATGAGGGGATTGATAACGTGAGCAAAGAGGAGGCAGACGAGATGAGGCCAATGGGCAGCTACCTTTGGGGTGAGTCATGCTGTGTTCTCGGATATGCCGTTTTCTGACATGTTTAGGCACCAACTCTCGCTGCAAAGCTGTTCGAGCCAACAAGCTGTTCGGTTGGACTCCCAAGCAGAAGAGTGTTTTCGATCTGCTGCCGGAGATCATCGATGGTGAGGCGAAGGCGATGGGTCGTGTTAGGCAGCACGCTGAAGAAGCTGCTGAGGGACGTATCATGAAGTAGTCGTATGCCAGACCGCCCTACAACGTAAGGGAGAGGCGTGTCGGGTTTCAGTCACTATCGTGGCGAGAGCGCTGTAGCGATGGAGCAACAAACATGTGGTAGCATAACCTCTCATGAAACTCGTATTGCGCGCATGTCCTGGTATTGTGGTTACATGCGCGTGCCAGTCATCGATGAGAGAGGAGTGAAGGATGCCCAGGTACTGCCCGCATCTGCCCCGCGGCGGAACTCCACATGTCTGCCCACTGTAGGTGATCGCACGACCAACAACATCGAGGAATAGTAGGATGCAGTGGCAGATCATCGAAGGGTACTTGATCCAATGTAATTGAAAAATCGATGTATAAGCTCCGAAACGTCGTGGATGTGTTCGCCTTGGCGCTGTCATGTTCCTGAGCTCTCGCGCTTGAGCCACGTTCCTAGCTTGCCTCGACCAACGAACAACCGCGTCGACATGGAAGAGCGAGTGAGACAACGACTCCCTTAATCCACGACCTCAAGCTCGCAGTAGATTGCGACTAATTTCCTCGCGACCATGGATATCATACAGGCCGTCTCCGGCTACATCACCAAGATGGTGTCGGTCGGGGACAGCGCTGCGACAGGCACCTCCGCGGCCAAGATGAAGATCCTCCTCCTCGACAACGAGACTGTGGGTTTGTCTGCTCTCCCAGGTGGCAACATACACGTTACTCATACTGTTTAGGTCCCCATAGTATCGACCGCGACTACGCAATCCGCCCTCCTCAATCATGAAGTCTACCTTACCGAGTACCGCACCCTCGCGATCCACAATGCAATGCACGGCTAATACGTTGGCAGCCGCCTCGACAATCCAAAGCGGGAGAAGATGCGCCATCTGCGATGTCTCTGCTTTGTGCGACCGTCACCAGAGTCCATCCAAAACTTGATCGAAGAGCTGCGAGAGCCCAAGTACGGGGAATACAACATCTGTACGCGCCTGAAGAACACGGGGCTACGTTCGCGTGCTGATACAGACAGACTTTAGTAACATAATCAAAAAGTCCTCGTTGGAGCGCCTCGCCGAGGCGGACGACCACGAAGTCGTGCGCGCGATCCAAGAATACTTCGCCGACTTCCTCGTCATAAATCCCGACCTCATGTCGCTCAACCTCGGGTTTCCCGATCATCGGATATGGAGCACAAGCCCGGATGCGTGGAACCAAGATGCGCTACAAAGGTCGACAGAGGCAGTCATGGCATTACTTCTGTCGCTGAAGAAGAAGCCTTTGATACGATACCAGAAGAACAGTTTGCTCGTGAAGAAGCTGGCGACCGAGGTCCGATACCATATGACACAGGAAGAGCAGCTGTTCGACTTCCGCAAAACAGATACCCCGCCCATACTTTTGATTGTCGACCGAAGAGACGATCCGGTGACACCGCTGTTGACGCAATGGACGTATCAGGCCATGGTTCACGAGCTGCTCGGAATACACAACGGACGGGTGGACCTACGCGACGTGCCGGAGATACGTCCCGAGCTCAAGGAGATTGTGTTATCGCAGGAGCAGGACCCGTTCTTCAAGAAGAACATGTATCTCAACTTTGGTGATTTAGGGCAAAATGCGAAAGAGTATGTCGAGCAGTTTGCGTCAAAGCAGCAGGGATCGCAGAAGCTCGATTCCATTGCCGACATGAAGCGCTTCATCGAGGACTTTCCCGAGTTCCGCAAGCTTTCCGGCAACGTCACCAAGCACGTCACACTTGTCGGCGAATTGAGCAGACGAGTTGGCGAAGAGAGTCTACTGGACATCAGTGAGCTCGAGCAGAGTCTGGCATGTACCGACAATCATTCCAACGATGTCAAATCGCTGCAAAGAATCATCCAAGATCCAAAGGTCCCGGCGAACAACAAGCTCCGACTGGTTGCCATCTACGCGTTGCGCTACTCAAAGGCCTCGTCAAACTCCACAGCTATGCTGCTTGACTTGCTCGCTGTTGCGGGTGGACTGTCACGGCATCGCATTAACCTCATCACAAAGCTGTTGACCTACCATGACTCGCTGCAAGCGACTACGGCGGCAGGTGGAGTGCCGGACCTTTTCCAACCTGGGTTGCTCTTCGGAGGTGCCCGAGATCGACTCAAGGGCTTGAAGGGTGTTGAGAACGTCTACACACAGCACTCGCCTCGCTTAGAGGCTACGTTGCAGGACATGATCAAGGGTCGCTTGAGCCAACAGCTGTACCCCTTCGTCGAGGGTGGCGGATCGACAAAGGACAAGCCGCAGGACATCATTGTCTTCATGGTCGGCGGCGCAACATACGAGGAAGCTAAGATGGTTGCGCAAGTCAATGCTAGTTCGCCAGGTATTCGAGTCGTGCTCGGCGGCACCACTGTGCATAACAGCACTTCCTTCTTAGAGGAAGTAGAAGATGCCGTCGACTCCTGGCCCGAGCCTCCCGCTACATCAGCTGCGGCTCGCCTGAAGAGGGAAGTAGGTAGATAGTCGATATCGTCTTGTGAGAGCGAAGCAATGATTTGGGAGTTGGGCGTCGAAGCGAGTGGCACCAATGCAGGTTCATATTACACGGGTTGATAGAGTTGCTCATGAATACCACAATCGTCTCAATAGTGTTCGTCAGCACAGCCCGCAATGAGTGCAGCACAGTGCATGCCCCGCGCTAAGGGTCGAGATGCATCCCACCAAGGCCCACATCATTCGTTTCAAGCCGGCCCTGAACAGCAGCGCGACCTATAGGTCGCAGTCAGCAATCAATTGTTGGGCGGTACCTGCATGACTCCGAAGGCGGCGAAAAGTCTGCTAACCTGCTCAGAGCCAAGACGATGCGACAAGGCTGAACACGTGCATCATCACCAACAGGTGTTAAAGTCATCGGGGTTCCCTTACGGGCCGACATCCGATCGCTCACTCCACCACCTCAGCCACCTTCAAACCTCACCCACACATGGCGCGAAAATGAGGATTGCGAGACATGCCAGAACAAGGACAGGTCTTGCAGTCTCGAGTGGTCCGCCGGAGAAATCCACGCCCCATCAACAGCTGCGTTGAATGCCGCACCCGGAAGTCGCGATGCTCCAAGACGCACCCTTGCCAGAACTGCACAGCCTTCGGGCGCGAGTGCGTCTTCATCACGGTCCCTGAGAG